CGTTGTCATAGACGCGCGTGTTGTCGCACCAGAGCTCGCACGGACCCTACTCACTGGTCAGGATGCCTGACTAAACTTGCAGACACTATTCGTGTGTACCTCGTGCGACGGCGTAAAGCCTTCGTTGTCGCCGTGGCGCCATCGGACGACGCTTGGGAGCGCTTGGGGCTTGGATGGGTCGAGCTTGGTGATGCCGCACTCGCCGCCCGACGGCTGCGACTCGATGAGGTCCTTGAGCGTCTTGAAGCGACTGGCCTTGAAGTGTTTGGTGAAATCAGCCGTGTTGTCGCCAGGGCTCTTGTTGTACGTGTCGCCGGGCAACAGCGACGGGCCGTCGAGGGTGGCACAGAACCGAGTCGGGTCGCTGTTGGGGTCGACAAACTGAACGGGCGGCGCGACCAAGTGGCCGTGGGCGTGGGTGTCGCGCACGGCGACGGCCGAGAGCACCGTGAGCACGACCGACACGACAAGTTGCATGTTGGTTGGGGGTCGAAAAAGCAAAAATGAGCTTTTGACGAAATGCTGTATTGAGATTGTAGCGATCTGGTCGTATGGTAAAGAGGCTTCTGGCTGGTATCGTCGAAATGGAGTGCCCATGTGAAGTTTGTGTCGAGACTATTCGACGTCACAAAGGGAGTATATGCACATCTATATAAACCAATAGAGGTTGCTCGTGGGACACTGATCAGATCCAGACTGCACTGGTATTGGTATCTCGCCCTTTTAGCATTTTGCACTTGACAAGTGTAGAGAAGAAAGCAGTCGATATCGAGGATGTCTGCAGTCTCCCGAGATACGGCGCACCGCGATCACCATAAAAATCGGTGGTGGTTAGTGCGTCTATATAAAGATATTGAGGGTCAAGACGTTCTTGTTGTTGATGTGAGTCTATTTAGATACTCTAGTATAATTTACACTGAGCTGGATATGGTGTGGACTAGCGATTCCAAGGTGCTACGACGAGCCGGCGGCCGAGAGGCTTAGTCGAGCGGGAAACGTGGCGTGTAAAAGGTCAAGACGTTGTGCAGCTCACGCTGTTATTAATCTGTGCCTTCATGAACAGGTCCACGATCGAACGCAGTGCATTGGACCTGGAGACCATAAACACTGCACCGAGGAGAAGCCCCGGAAAGAGGCAACGACGAGGTAAGCAGTCGCGTAGCTATCGATGCGACTGGTCGCAGATGTGAACGTAAAGTACCATATACTGTCCCTCATGCGGCATCTCTGCTCGGTCACCTATCAATGACCTGGCATCGTGCACTAGTACACGCAAGCATATGTACTTGGATGATGCATGCACATCGTCTCGTCACTTTCGTTCTGGAAAGATAAGCGTATTTTGCTGCTAGTAGTATCATCACATGCAGCGCATCCAGTCAGCACTTGAGGTGACAAGTCTTTTACGGCGGAATTACTCTGTCGACGTCGCGGTGCTCGGGCAGATCCTCGGTGCATGTGCCGCGTCGGTAGTTCGGTGCATACGTCCACTGGACGTTGTTGGTTAGGCGCCAACAATCTCCCGCTAATTGCGCGAAGCAGGCGTGCTCTGGGCACACATCCGGTCGGTCGATGTTATCGAAATCACGCCGGACAGCCGTTCACAAAAAAATTGTTTTCTAAAGTAGATCGTTTCAAGTTCCACTATCGAATGGCGTCGTATCTGTCCACTTTTCTACGTAGGCTCCCATCCTGGTCGAGACAAAAATGGGATGTGGGCATCATCAGATGCGGTACATATGTCTATGTAGGTGCCCTGTGCGAGCTCTTGTGCGTCTGAAGCAGACATGCTTCACCCGACTTTGGCCAGCACCATTTCCCTAAAATCATCCGTTTGATTCTCGGATATTCATCAGCTTACCGTAAAGACTCTATGCTTCGCAGTGCGCGCTGTGAAGAGTCTACAGTACTAAAGTCCTAGCTCGGTATTTAGTATGCCCGTGATGGTTGTGATGCGCGGACTCGTTCTCGTTCTTAAGAACGACTTGTTGCTTCGAGCCACTATCAATGCAAAGGTTCTCCTCCTACAAAGCTTGAACCGGCATCCTTCTGTTTGTCAACTAATCGCGCTCAACATCTTACATAGAGAGGTGACGACACTGAGTACAAGACGACCATGAAGAAAGGTCTAGATATTTGGTTCATTATGCAGCTGACGTCGGACAAACCCAGCGAGTCAAAAGGGTTGTTGCTGTATCAGAAGGACTGTTGGGCGGATAGGAGTGCGCTTCGGCCGGAGCAGCCGTATTCTGGCACGTGGTGTATACAGATTGCTTTGAGAAATGAAGTGGTGAACGCAGCAACGGCCAATTGTTGACGACGGTCTATAAGTATACGTTGTGCCGCGCACAGGGTCGGGCGCGAACCTCAAGTTTGACGCGATCTTGTCGCAGCCCGGTCCGGACGTGACGGCCAACTACATGTTGCTCGACGACCACACGTACTGGTCGATCGAAAAGGACGCGGTCATCACGAGCGCCGGGTGCTTGGACGCGGATCAACTAGCTCGTATCTCATTTCTACACTGCAATGATCTTAGACATCCCAATTCTTTGGTAGATCCAAGTCAGTCTCACAGACGCTGTCGTCGTCGCCTGCGGCGAACGCGAGGGTTCACGATGTCACGTGTTTGTCGTATGCAATTGGGACAGCCGCAACCGAGGATCCAGCATGCTCCTTGCAAAACGCATCACATCGACTTGTACCACGCTTGTCGTTGTGTTGAAGCATGCGACGGTTCTAGCCAACCGCATGGCGTCGTCATTTCGACAGTATACCGTTCGACACCATTACACGTTACGTTGGCTCACTTTCCGCTCCTGCACTGCGTTGCTTTGGCGACGAGTCGCGTGGTGAAGAAAAAAAGTCTGGATGACCACCCGACTACGGTTCCAACTAAATTCCGCTCGCGGCGACGTCCAAACTGCATTGTCAATCGAGCATCGATGTGACAGTCATATAAGGGATGCTACCGGTACGAGGGTACACGGGTATGCACGCAGACAAAGATCTATCTCGACATCCCAGGACAGTCGTGAAGACGATCGCATCCTATCGACTGAGAATGATTTCGCACTGGTGCGACGACAAAAGGAGCGCGATTACACATGCTGTAGCAATGCACACACAACAGCTACACACACCAACCCTTTTCAAAAGCCGTTCCTTGCGAGCCTTTACGCGTTGAATTCGACTCACTTTTCCTTTTTCCCTCTTGCATCATGAAGATCGCGTCTCTGCTGGCACTCACTGGCCTCGGCTACCTCGCCAACCCCGCGTCCGCTGCCATCTGCGCCGGCGTCACGCCCTACTCGTACCAAGTCGCCGTCCAAACCAACGCCCAGTTTGCACCAGCCATCAACGAGCTCAAAAAATACTCGGTCGCAACGTGGTACGTCGACAACGGCGGCAACCCCATCGATGCGCTCCTCGCGGCGTGCCCCACCGACACGCCCGTCATCGTCGTCTACGGTCTGCCCCAAAAGGACTGCGCGGCGGGCTTCTCGGGCGGCGGCAGCAACAGCAATGCCGACCAGTACAAGGCGTGGATCCAGTCGCTGGCCAACAAGGTCGGCAACCGCAAGGTCATCTACATTCTGGAGCCGGACGCCATTGGTCTTCTCGCCAACAACAATTGTGCGACGCAGAACGGGTATCTCGGCAACCTCCAGAACGCGATGCGGATTCTGTCGGCCAACGCCAACGCGCAGATCTACGCTGACGTCGCATCGTGGGCCAACCAAGACAAGGCTGTTCCGATTCTCAAGAGCCTTGGCAAGGTCACGGGTATCGCGATCAATACCTCCAACTACAAGAGTACGGGCGACATGAACCAGGTGTGCGAGTCGTACTCGAAGCAGACCGGCGGCCTTCACTGCATCATTGACACGTCGCGCAACTTTAATGGGTCGCCGCAGAACGAGTGGTGCAACGCGCGGTCGGGCGGTATTGGTGCGCCGCCGACGGCGCAGACCGGCAACCCGCTGGTCGACTACTACCTCTGGATCAAGGTGCCGGGTGAGTCGGACGGGCAGTGCTACGGCCAGTCGAGCGATGCGTTGATCGGGCCTGGCGCCGGTCAGTTCTTTCCCGACGGCTTCAAATCGCTGTGGGACCAGGGCTACTTTGTCGCGCATGGGTTTCCCAAGATCGGCCAGACCACGGCGTCGCCGACCAAGGCACCGTCGACGCCCAAGCCGCCGACTCCGGCTCCCGTCACTCAAAAGCCCGTGACGCCGACGCAAAAGCCGGTCACCCCGACACAAAAGCCGGTCACCCCGACGCAGAAGCCGGTGACGCCAAAGCCGTCGCTGCGCACGACAGCGCCTGCGCAAGGGACGGTCCCAGTTTATGGTCAGTGCGGTGGCAAGTCGTACAACGGTCCGGCAACGTGCGTGGCGGGCAGTGCGTGCAAGTACCAAAACGACTACTACTCACAGTGCTTTCCGACGAGATAAGTGCGTCGATATCCATGTTGTTAGATCGCCATACAAGTGTGTGCTAGCTTTGAACAAATGATGTTTTAGAAAGGAATCGGTGCGTCAGACATGGTTACGAGGGTCGAAATTAAAGGGCTGATATGGCGATCAAACAACCATAACCAGGACCATGCTGTATGCGTGATTTCAAGGACGCAGGGGTCCGTTGTGACGCAAGATGGCTCCGATAGACCATCGTGAAGTGAACGGCGTACAGACAATGGATTGATGATGATTGGGTGGCGGTCTCGTCACAACACGAAACGCTCCGACGAACGGGGTCTCGCCGCACCCAAGACAACCCACTTTCGCGCCGACGTACCGCTGCCAAGTCCTTGGACGATTGCCGTAAAGGCGGCACGCGTCGCTCTACTGCACGTGCACCACAGCCTCGTCCAAGAGCCCGAGCAACCTGCTCTTCGTCGACTTCTCCAGCTCCTCGCCCAACACGAGTGGCCGCGACGTCACCTCGTCCCGCGGATCGCGCTCCTGCCTCCGCCTGCCTAAATCAAGTCCCTCAGCCGAGGGACTTGATTTACAACGAAGAAAGTCCGGCAATTTTATTTAGCATAGTTTTCACTATTGTGATAGACGACCCACTACAACAACAACAGCCCACGGAACTCTCTTTCGGTGGTAAGCACACGTGACTTCTAGAGCGTTGGTACGTTTAGAGCGTTAGTGCCTCTAGAACATTACAACCAAGTAGCGTTTTGCATGTACAGTAGACGTCGGAGTGTCTGCGAGACCGCGTCCGTATAACCATACGGCGTCGTCATGACAGGTCATGAAACTGTCATTTGTCGTCGGTTCTTTCTGATACCGTCGTCAACGCGTATCTCTACAACGTCTCCATGTCAGCAAATGACTCGGACACAGTACTGTTTTGGCAGGCATGCGCCTACGTGATGTCTACCGCTGCAACCTGTCGAGCCGTCACCGTCTTGCACAATCCACTGCGCGGCATCCAGCATCGACGGTGAGGACATGGTGCGACAGCGTGCACCACTGTTCAACAAGGCCACGCGCGTTGCTGTGAAGCACGTACGCAGCTCATAGACAAGAAATGTATCCGCACAGTCATGTCATGACACTTGAAACACGACGTCGGACGCGTTGCATCCGAGCATGTAGATGCGCGGCAGGACTCACGACGCAGCGCTGAGAATGAGATATCGCGATGCGAGCCAAAGACGAGCACGCTGCTACCTCTTGGTCCTTCGCGTGCCGTGGACATGGCACCTCCAATTGCATTGCTCGACACGGGCGATTCACCACGTCACTTTTCCATTTTCCATCATGAAGATCGCGTCTCTGCTGGCACTCACTGGCCTCGGCTACCTCGCCAACCCTGCGTCCGCTGCCATCTGCGCCGGCGTCACGCCCTACTCGTACCAAGTCGCCGTCCAAACCAACGCCCAATTTGCACCGGCCATCAACGAGCTCAAAAAATACTCGGTCGCAACGTGGTACGTCGACAACGGCGGCAACCCCATCGATGCGCTCCTCGCGGCGTGCCCCACCGACACGCCCGTCATCGTCGTCTACGGGCTACCCCAGAAGGATTGCGCGGCGGGCTTCTCGGGCGGCGGCAGCAACAGCAACGCCGACCAGTACAAGGCGTGGATCCAGTCGCTGGCCAACAAGGTCGGCAACCGCAAGGTCATCTACATTCTGGAGCCGGACGCCATTGGTCTTCTCGCCAACAACAATTGTGCGACGCAGAACGGGTATCTCGGCAACCTCCAGAACGCGATGCGGATTCTGTCGGCCAACGCCAACGCGCAGATCTACGCTGACGTCGCATCGTGGGCCATTCAAGACAAGGCTGTCGCGATTCTCAAGAGCCTCGGCAAGGTCACGGGTATTGCCATCAACACGTCTGGCTATCACGCAACCGCTGAGATGAACCAGGTGTGCGAGTCGTACTCGAAGCAGACCGGCGGTCTCCACTGCATTATTGACACGTCGCGCAACTTTAACGGGTCGCCGCAAAGCGAATGGTGCAACGCGCGGTCGGGCGGCATTGGTGCGCCGCCGACGGCGCAGACCGGCAACCCGCTGGTCGACTACTACCTCTGGATCAAGGTGCCGGGTGAGTCGGACGGGCAGTGCTACGGCCAGTCGAGCGATGCGTTGATCGGGCCTGGCGCCGGTCAGTTCTTTCCCGACGGCTTCAAATCGCTGTGGGACCAGGGCTACTTTGTCGCGCATGGGTTTCCCAAGATCGGCCAGACCACGGCGTCGCCGACCAAGGCACCGTCGACGCCCAAGCCACCGACTCCGGCTCCAACGCCTAAGCCGTGGACACCTGTACCGACGTCTGCTCCGACGCCCAAGCCGTGGACGCCTGCTCCGACGCAAGCTCCTTCAACGCCCAAGCCATGGACTCAGCCACCCGCGACGCCGTCGTTGCGTCCGACGACGCCTCCCCAGGGAACGATTCCCTCTTGGGGTCAATGCGGTGGCAAGGCGTACACGGGTCCCACGACCTGTGTCGCGGGCTGCTACTGCAAGTACCAGAATGACTGGTACCATCAGTGCCTCCCCACCAACTAAACGCTTGTTTGTTTCAAAACACCCTTTCCTAGTGCCTCGTCGTTCCTTGCACGTTCTCGCACTAATACATTTCGGTCTTTCGCTCATTTTGTGGGAATTTTGGGGCGTTGTAGAGTGAGAAACGTGGGAAAGGAGAGATAGCAGATACATTTTCCAGACAAAAGAATAGACAACTTACGTCGAATATCATATTTTGCACACAATGCAACGCACTGTTTCGTTTGAAACACACCCCGGCTTGCACTCCTCAGTCGGGTGGCCCGAGTACAGGAGCCTGCGTACGACCTCGCGCGAACTATCCCTCGGCGAGTGGGGTCCACCACGGGATGGATCTGTCTGTGCGCAGCTCACTCCCAAGGACCAAGTGCTGGTGCCAACTTCCACGCATTCAGGCGTAGCACTACGTATGCGAACTCTTTGTAAGAAGGATAACGGGGAACACGTTAACATATAATGCAACGCACTACATATTCGACGCGAGGAACACTCTTCGACACCTCACGCTTGCGGCATGCACTGAAAGTAGTACGCATGGCGCTCCATGCAGTCGTAGCTGTCGCCGCACTGCGTCGGACCTGCATAAAACTTGCCGCCGCATTGACCGTACGCCGCCGCCGTGCCCTCCTTCTCGCTCGTGGGCCGACACTGAGAGTAGTGAGGATTCAGTTCGTCGCACTGCGCGCCGGCACCGCACGCTGTCGGACCCGAGTAGCCCTTCCCGCCGCACTGCCCGTACAAGGCGACCTTGTCACCAGACGGACCCGGCGTCGGGTGCATCGTCGGCGTGGGCGCGTGCGTTGGCTTGGGCGCGTGCGTCGGCTTGGGCGCGTGCGTCGGCTTGGGCGCGTGTGTCGGCTTGGGCGATGGGTGATCCGGCGACGCGCTGGGCGATGGAACCGGATACGGGCTCGGCGACGGGCTAGGATACGGGTTGTTGGAAGGGCTAGGGTTGGGACCCGGACCACTGCCGCTGTCCAGCGCCACGCAATTCTCTAGTCGTTTACATCAGTCCATCGTTTCAATATGACCAAATGTAGTTGGAACGTACTGTAGACTTGCCACGACGACGAGTGCAGCGCGAGCCAGAAGAACCGAAGCGTCTTGGCCCCCGCGCACTTGGTCGTGTCGATGGCCATCGAGCCATCGGCGATGTTTTTGGCGCAGTTTTCGTTGTCATAGACGCGCGTGTTGTCGCACCAGAGCTCGCACGGACCCTACTCACTGGTCAGGATGCCTGACTAAACTTGCAGACACTATTCGTGTGTACCTCGTGCGACGGCGTAAAGCCTTCGTTGTCGCCGTGGCGCCATCGGACGACGCTTGGGAGCGCTTGGGGCTTGGATGGGTCGAGCTTGGTGATGCCGCACTCGCCGCCCGACGGCTGCGACTCGATGAGGTCCTTGAGCGTCTTGAAGCGACTGGCCTTGAAGTGTTTGGTGAAATCAGCCGTGTTGTCGCCAGGGCTCTTGTTGTACGTGTCGCCGGGCAACAGCGACGGGCCGTCGAGGGTGGCACAGAACCGAGTCGGGTCGCTGTTGGGGTCGACAAACTGAACGGGCGGCGCGACCAAGTGGCCGTGGGCGTGGGTGTCGCGCACGGCGACGGCCGAGAGCACCGTGAGCACGACCGACACGACAAGTTGCATGCTAGTCGAAAAAGCAAAATGAACAGTTTACGGCTCATGAGGATGATCACTGGCTTGTTGGCAGGATGCATGTACATCGCTCTGCATGTAAAGACGATCCAGTGGCGATCACGATCTGCTCTGTACGTCACCAGCGAACAGGCTTTTATGACCACAGGACGACATGTGTCTGGCGCGTCCAGCGGTTCGAATGTGGGGCATGTACATATGTCTAGTTGCTGAAAACGTCATGTTCACAGCACAAAGCGGTAGGCGTCGTCCACAGCTCGCCTGCTTCGCCTTGACATCGCGACCGTCGTGGTGTAGTGCGAGAATACGGTCACGCTTCCAGATACCGTATGCATGGCCTTACGTCTCCGCTCATATATGGGCGAGTCTACTATAACATCCTCAGGCAGCTCGACGCTTCTCGCCTCGTCCTGCGCCTCGCCAACGTGCATCGTATGTACAGGAACCAACGAAACAATGCAAGTCCACCGACGCCATTGCTCACGAACGACCTCTGCTCACGAACGACCTCTAGTAAATACTCTAGTAAATTACTGGGGGTCATTCGTGGGCCTCCGTTATAAAGGAGTTGAAAGCACGCGTTGTGCAAGGCGGATCTGAGGTTGTGATTGGTGCTCGAAAGATCGCTCGTTGAAACCAAATGTTTCGCCAGGAACCGCGTGTAATGCGACTGCGTTTCCAGACCACGTCATGGTCAGCGCGTCAGAGATGCCTCGAGCGATCGCAGTACCGTAGCTAGTACTGTACACTGTACACTTATCGGCTTGTCTGGTGACCAAGAACACATAAATGGGGCGTCTTTCTCCTGCCTTGACATATGGCGCCTCGGTACCAACGCTGCTATTTCGGGTAGTAAACGTCCGCATCATTTTCCAAGGACGCGGGATTCGTTGTTGCGCGCTGGACACAAGCCGGCAGGTTGATGCACGATCGCTTCTGTGCTCTGGATCTCCTAACCCGCTCCAGAGGCTGGTGCATCAACATGTGTGAAATTGTGGTCGTCGACGAGCAGCCAAGGTAGCTAGCTGGCTACACATGCATGAGCCGCACTAGTCTCTACTGCTTCCCGTTTTGCATCGGAACACGTCATGGGCTTCGTACGACGCCATGTTGATCCCGCCATGCCGCCCGAGCTGCCGTCGATGTCGTCGCGTGCTTTCGTACTTGAAAAGTCATTTGCACTCGTACGCTGCATTGGCATTGACCCCGACGTGTCCTCGTGCCATGACAATGTCACGCCATGCCGCGAGTAGCCACGCAACTGTAGGCCGTCGCAGTAATACTGCAAGTCGAAGCATCGAACGCGCTACATGTGCATATGGCTTCGTGCGGACAAGCAGGCCTTGATAGCGTCCACGCACTGTCTTTAACCAACTGAAAATGACCACGCCGTGGGCATGCCATGAGCTGTGACTTCCCGTGTCAGTGGCTGTCACGGCACCATCGTCGTCCTCGGAAGCGGCTCGATTTCTCTTGTCCGTGGCATATGCAATTGTATTGTAGTGCTGTAGCTGCTCGCGCTTGTTTCACAGCCGTCGGAGGACGCGTCACCAACTGGATGGCCACATCGACGATGCATGCAACGCACGAGGGGGATAGAGCAGGCCATCGATGAGCGATGAGTACGAGGTATTTCTCTAAAACCCCGTAACTTGCTCCCATATCTTGAAAAAAACGCAATTGAGGAATACGTGGATCGGATTGGCTTGAAAACGAAGGTAAAGGGGTTGTGATTGGCTGGATTGCGCAAATCTACGAGGCAAATTGCGGGATTTTCAGAAATTCTCGTCCTGAATGTGGTGCTGGCTCGGATTGTCGCGCGTCTCTGCGTCGTGGTTGTGCGAGCATCACACAACGAGATGTCTGAGATACGACGACACCATCTGGCATCGGCGAAACGCGCACAGACGCCGCAGCGACACTTACCATGCGCCACATGTCTGAAGGCGCGTCCACGGCTTGGCGCTCGCAGATCGTAGCTCACTTTTCGTTTTCCCTTATCTATCAACTATGAAAATTGCGTCTCTCCTCGCGCTCTCCAGTGTCATGGCCAACCTCGCGTCTGCTGCCATCTGCGCCGGCATCGCACCCTACTCGTACACAGCCGCGGTGCAAGCCAACGCGAAGTTTGCGCCGGCGATCCACGAACTCAAGAAATACCCCGTGGCGACGTGGTATACCGACCGCGGCGGCGACTCGATCGATGCGCTCATGGCCGCTTGCCCCACGGACACGCCCGTCATCATCGTGTACGGTCTCCCCGGGAAGGACTGCGATGCGGGCTTCTCGGGTGGCGGCAGCAATACCAACACAGACCAGTACAAGGCGTGGCTCGAGAAGCTCACGAGCAAGGTCGGCAACCGCAAGGTCATCTACATTCTGGAGCCGGACGCCATCGGCCTCCTTGCCAACAAGGACTGCGCGACGCAGAAAGGGTACCAGGCCAACCTCCAGGTGGCCATCCATGCGCTTGGATCCAACAGCAACGCGCAGATCTACGCCGACGTGGCCGGGTGGGCCAACCAAAGCAAGGCGGTCGCGATTCTCAAGGGCTTTCAGAAACTCACGGGTATCGCGATCAACACGTCCAACTACAAGAGCACGGGCGAAATGAACCAGCTCTGCGAGACGTACTCGAGCCAGACCGGCGGCCTCCACTGCATCATTGACACATCGCGCAACCACAACGGGTCGCCGCAGAACGAGTGGTGCAACGCTCAGTCGGGCGGCATTGGTGCACCGCCGACGGACCAGACGGGCAGCAAGGTCGTCGACTACCATCTCTGGCTCAAGGTGCCCGGTGAGTCGGACGGCCAGTGCTACGGCCAGTCGTCCGACTCGAGCGTCGGCCCCAGCGCCGGTCAATTCTTTCCCGAAGGCTTCCAGCGCCTCTGGGACCAGAGCTACTTTGTGGCGCATGGGCACCCCAAGATCGGCGAAGCACCGTCGCCGTCGACGCAGCCCGCGCCGTCGACCCAACCGGCACCATCGCCAAGCCCGTCGACGGCCTCGCCCACGGTCAGCCCGACGGCGGCCCCACAGCTTCTCCGACGGATGCGCCAAAGCCCTCGACGCCTGCCCCAACGGATGCCCCTAAGCCCTCGACCGATGCCCCGACACCTTCCACAGCCCACCCGACGCCGCACCCGTCGTCATCGACGCACCACCCGACGACCAAGCCAACGAAGAAGCCGACGTTCCGTCCGACGACCAAGCCCGGTGCCAGCGTCATCGAGTGGGAACAGTGCGGTGGCAAGAGCTACTACGGCTCCACGGCGTGCGTCGATGGCTGCAAGTGCGAGTTTATCAACGAATACTACTCCCAGTGCCGTCCCGTGGCCGCGTCGACGACTGAGGTGGCACCGTACGGCCGCTGCGGCGGCATTCACTACGCGGGCGTGACCGCCTGCAGCGTCGGGTATACGTGCAAGGTCATGAATCCCCACTACTCGCAGTGCGTCCGTGACACGTCGTCGTCAAGAAACGATACCGACTCGAGTTCGCAAAGCGACGACGATAGCGACTAAGATCTAAGCGTCGCACAGCACAATCATTGATGTCGTCTGTATAACACATTTAGCTTGCGTTGTCGGTTTGCTTAAAATGGGCTGCTGCATTTCTACTTCGTGGGCATGGTTCTGCTACAGTAGATCGGACACATACAACTTGTGCTCACCAAGGGCATCTCGCAGTGTGCGGAGTGGCACCAGCTTTTGCTACTAGATAAAAGGTGATGTACGGTAGCGCGAAGAAACGTCATATCTTACCAACTATCTAATATGTTATTGTCATGTATGGTCTGCCTGGCAAAGACTGCGCGGCGGGCTTCTCGGGAAGCTTCGTTACCTGCAATATTGTCAACGCCTACTACTCGCAGTGCTTTTGATTTACACTAGCAATGAATCCCACGGTCATATTCCCCTCAGCAATCGCATGGTGGTTTTCTTCATACCGACGAATGGATGGACGAGTTGATGGCACGGTTATTAGATAGGTACGGACAACAATAACAACTAAACTATCAGCCGAGAGATGTTCTACTTGGGGAGGCATTGCGAAAACCACGGGTTGCTCGGAACGCAATGGTCGCCCGGTGTGCATTCGGTGCTGCCCGTGTAGTACACGCCGCCGCACTGGCCAAAGCGAAGCACTTGGCCCTTGTTGCTCGAGTTGGGCATGCACTGCGAGTACGTCAACGAGAGGCTCGTGCACTGGAACCCATTGATGCACTTGGTGTTGCCGCTGTAGCCGGCGCCGCCGCACTGCTTCCAGCCTTGGATCGGGTCATTTGGGTTCACAGAGGGACTCGGTGCCGGGTTTGCTGACGGGCTCGGCGACGGGCGAGGCGATGGGGACATGGTAGGCGACCCTGACGACGGGCTGGGGCTCGGGTTCGGGCTCGGGTTCGGGCTGGGGTTGGGACCAGGACCTGGCGCCGCGCCGCTGAGGTTGACGCAGTTCTTGTACACCTGCCACTGCGGTGAGTGCAGCGCGAGCCAGAGCATCGTCAGACGCTTCGCGCCCGAGCACTTGGACGGGTCGATCGACATGTGTCCGTTCGGATAGTTGGCGGCGCAGTTGTTATCGTGGAAGACGCGCATGTTGTCACACCAGAGCTCGCACGGTCCTTGGTGCGACGAGATGAAGCCTTCTTGGCCGTTGGCCCACTTGACGGTGCTCGGCAATGGCTGTGCCGGACCGTTGGCGTCGGTAATGCCGCAGTCGCCGCCGCTCGGGTGCGCGTCCAAAAAGGCCTTGAGCGTCTTGAACGAGCTGGCCTTAAAGTGCTTGGTAAACTCGTCCGTGTTCCAGTCGGGGCCTTGACCATACGTGCTACCAGGAAGCACCGTGGGTCCGTCCAACGTGGCGGCAAACTTGGTCGGGTCGCCATACTTGTCGGTAAACGCGGGGACCGGGTCCACGAGGTGGCCGTGGCCGACGACCGGTCGCAGCGAGGCTGCGATTAGCAGCGCTGAGGAGAGTAGCAGTTGCATTTTGCTTGTTGGTAAAGAGGAAAAAGGCAAAGTGACTTGACCGCGGTACGAGCCGCACGGGTCACTGCGCACGGGTGATCTTGGCAGCGCCGACCGAATCCGGATGGTGTCAATGACAGGGTTTCATACGTTTTGGCGGTATTTGATTGGCCAAAATGGACTGCCAACGTTCGAATCAGGCGCTGCGAACGTGGCAAGGTGAGCGTAACGCATGCCAGCTGGCGCCGCGGCAGGTCGGCGACCCGCACGGCGATGATCGGAACCCGACATGGGGTATGTATCGTATAGCGGGATGTATATACAAGTAGCTAGTAGCGACACGGAACCGACGCCGCTTCTTGTGCGCCACGAGGAGCATGTCCCTGCCTTCGATTGACGGGCTGCAGTGAGAACCGTTGGATGTCTCCTGGACGGCTTCCAAGTCGTTCCTGCACTCGGTGCGAAGACAGGCTATAGTTGTTGATGTTGGTTGATGGCAATACAATGTACACGAGGACGCAACACGAAGGCCTGGCTCGCTGCCTGTTTGAAGACAGCTCTGGTCATTTGTAGTGCATGAATCTGGTGCTGCAATGTGGCCCACTCTCATCGTCCTCGTCAGCTGGAGTAACAAAAGACAACTGGATTCGCGCACGCTCGGTTTGGCGGGCGACAGCGTTCGATGCGCGCGTCCTCAGATCGAGCAGCCCCAGCAGCAGCTACCACAACCGTGCTGCGTCGGCTTTTCCATTGTACTAGGACTAGTAGCATGGAGCAGAGAGTGGAATGTGCTTCGCACGTCCGCACAGCCAGCTGGGTGGGGTCCGCACCCTGTCGCCAGCTCCTCGTTAAGCACGAGAGGGGATGGATGGACTGCGAGACACATCCAGTGGCCACATTTGGGTGCTGCCATTTTGGATCGTCTGCTCTCGGCAAGAGCTCTAGGCAAGGGTCAATAAAACCCTTGGTGGTTGGGTCATCATGGTCTTGGGTGGTGCCTATTTTGAATTTTGATTTGAAATTTGTATAGAATTGTGCATGTTGGTGCATTAGATTCGACTTCTTTTGGCGTATGTTCGTATTTTTGGCGCCGAGATTGACGTGGCGTACGTTGCAGAGGGCCCGTCTTCTTCTGGGAAATCGCTTTTGCTCGAAACGAAGCATTTGCACCGAGGTGCTTGGAGCCGACGGTAGCTTTGCGGTTGAAAGGCTTGGTCTCAAGCACACCGCTGGGGGTCAACGGCGGTTGGAGCAGGTGCCAATGGGGACAGAAACATGCGCACCCTTCAATTCCGCATGGACTCTAGAAGATTTCGAGTGTTGGCTTGGGTGCACTCCACAACGGAGCCGCTCGACTTTTCAATTATTTCAGGCATTTAATAGCTGCCTTAACCTTATGTCTAGCCGTCTTGGACCGCGAAACTATTTAATCTTTCTTCAAGCATGTAGCAGTCTGTATCAATCGCAGTGGGGTATCCCCAACATGGACGATCATGCAATCTCAGCGTTATGTTGCAACGGCGAGGAGGATCTCACGAGCTACTTCGCATCTCCGACCTGGCACCGACATACACAAAAGGAATTTCAGCGGAACGCGCAGTCGGCTTCTCCATGCAGCGTCGGTTGCCCCATGAAAAGTGCTTCGTTGACTTCAGTTTACATTATACAGCGCTTCCATCATGCGTGGCTGCATTCTCGCACTCTTAACTACGTTGCTCGCTTTCGCCGATGGCCACGGCTTTCTCATCAACCCGACGCCAACCTTCAACGAGCTCAACGGCGACCGCACGAAATACTGCGGCACGATCGATGGTCCCACGACGCTGCCCGGAAGCAGCTACAACCAAGACCCGGCGTGGAACACGCTGCAGTTTACAACACAGTTTAAAGCGAGCCCGTTTCGGACGTTGGCCGCCTTTGTCGATAGCCAAAACGTCGCGTCGTGTGGCAGGTGCGGCATCACGAATGCTATCGGTGCGGCGCAGCCTCTTCCTAGCGTCCTCAAGTGGGCCAACGGCCAAGAAGGCTTTGTCGCATCGCACGAAGGCCCGTGTGAAGTCTGGTGCGACAGCACGCGGGTCTTCCAGAACGACAACTGCGCCGCCAACCAGCAGAGTGGACTCCTCTCGATCGACACGACTCTGTGCGCTGGCGCCAAACAGCTTCGGCTGCTATGGCTCGCGCTGCACACGCCGTCGTGGCAAGTGTACATCAACTGCGTGCCGCTCAGCGGCAGCACGGTTGTGATCCCACCTGCTGCGAGTCCGAGCATGACACCGACCTCGGCACCGACCCCGGCACCGACCCCGGCACCGAGCAGCAGTGTAGCCTCGACGGGCGCGCCGACGCCAGCACCGAGCGATGGCGTCGCGTCCGTGTCACCGGGACTCGTTGCTGGACCGTGGAAGCAGTGCGGCGGCTCGGGGTTTGCCGAAAAGTTACAGTGCGTCTGCGGCTACGAGTGCACAGGCTACTCGCCGAGCTACGCGCAGTGCACAAAGCGCCGACCAAGCGACGGCGCGCTCGAGACGTACCAGCAATGCGGTGGCAACGCCTACTCGGGCAGCACCACGTGCTCGCACTGCGACGTGTGTGTCAAGGTCAACGACTACTACTCGCAGTGCTTGCCGCCAAACTACTACAACTAGTACGTGTTCTCGATGGAGGCCTACCATTAGTGTACGCTTGAAACGCCGACTGGATGACATATTGCGGATGCCGATTGGGCCATCCAGACACACTGTTTTTTCCTCTTTAAACCTGGTTCTATAGTATAAATTGGAATATTTGCTTTCTACACCAACCTTGCAAGGCGGTTTGGAGATGCATGCGGGACGTGCGAAGAAAGCATTGGCACTGCCCTGCAGCGGCGGCGGTTAGGGTCCAATCGATGTCGCCGACATTGCACAATGCTACGGACGTGTTCTTCGTCTCGTGTACAAGTACAAGCTCGCGCACAGTGCTGCGTACCGAATCGTCGTTGACAGTTGCAAGCGAGGAAAGCGTCGCCACAGTCACGCACGTGGTTGCCGCACAGTATGGTACCGTGTGTCGACATCAACAAGCGCCAACAAAATATGCATCTGCCACTCCACCAAATGGTGCTGCCCATGGTTGGATGTACAGCGACTCGCTGTACATCCAACCTTCGAGGCCGTCCGCCGGCGAGTTCAAGAGCACAACGACGATGTTGCGTCCCGATCCACGCGCCGACAGTTGTTGTTGTTGAAGTGGGTCGTCTATTACAATAGATAAAACTGCCGACAGTTGTTGTCGTTCGGCGTGAGCAGGAAAGCAACACCACGGCGCGCAACTTACGAGGACATTGCGTTTACGAGCTACCGACAACCGAGGCGGCGCGAAGAGACGGCGGTTTGGAATTGGCGGGTACTAGTGTGCTCAAGCCCCGGCGGCCTCCACAGCATCATCATCGACACGTCGTGCACCTTGAACGCACCGCCACAGAATGAGTGGTCCAACACCAAGCCGGCAAGTTTGGGTGATTGAAGCTCTTCTGCTATATGATTGGTGGATTAAGATCTGAAGCAGCCAATCCGAGACAAAATTGCATATTGATTGGCTAAAGTAGACGATATTTGAACCAATCCTCGCTACCCATGGAGAGAGGCCAGCCATGTCGACGTGATTCGGTGGCGCCATCCCTTCAACGCATGGATAGTCGGCAGACAGAATTGTATATATTACGCAGCTTATTCAATTACAGGTAGAGAGACTATTACAACACGTCGTCAATGCAATTTTTGGTGCCTAGGCGCCGGGGAGGCACTGCGAGAACCACGGACCACTGGCGACACACGAGTCGTCTTTGCCGCACTCGGTGCTACCCGTGTAGTACAACCCGCCACACTGACCGTAGCGAGGCACTTGGCCCGTGCTGCTCGAGTGCGGCATGCACTGCGAGTACGTCATCGAGAGGCTCGTGCACTGGAATCCCGTGACGCACTTGGTGTTTCCGCTGTAGCCGGCGCCGCCGCACTGCTTCCAGCCTTGGATCGGGTCAGTCGGGTTCACCGAAGGGCTCGGGGTCGGGCTAGCGGATGGACGAGACGATGGACGAAGCGACGGGCTGGGCGACGGGTACTCGGGCGTCGGTGACGGTCCTGACGAAGGGCTTGGGCTCGGTGACGGCCCTGACGAAGGGCTCGGGCTTGAGCTTGGGCTCGGGCTTGGGCTCGGGTTCGGCCCCGGACCCGGCGCCGCACCGCTGAGGTTGACGCAGTTCTTGTACACTTGCCACTCTGGCGTATGCAGCGCGAGCCAGAGCATCGTCAGTCGCTTCGCACCCGAGCACTTGGACGTGTCGATCGCCATAAAGCCATCCGGATAGTTGGCGGCGCAATTTTCGTCCTGGAAGACGCGCGTCTCGTCGCACCAGAGTTCACACGGCCCTTGGTGCGACGAGATGAAGCCGAGTTCACCGTTGGCCCACTTGACGGTGCTTGGCAGCGGCTGTGCCGGACCGTTGGGGTCGGTAATGCCGCAGTCGCCGCCGGTCGGGTGCGCGTCCAAAAAGGCCTTGAGCGTCTTGAACGAGCTGGCCTTAAAGTGCTTGGTGAACTGGTCCGTGTTCCAGTCCGGGCCTTGCTCGTACGAACTGCCGGGGAGCACCGTGGGTCCGTTTAAAGTGGCGGCAAATTTGGATGGATCGCCGTACTTGTCCGTAAACGCCGGCAGCGGGTCCACGAGGTGGCCGTGGCCGACGACCGACCGCAGAGAGGCTGCGACCAGCAGCGCTGAGGAGAGAAGCAGTTGCATTTTGCTTGCTGGACGAATGGAAAAAGGCAAAGTGACTTTGAACCGAGTGGCTCACGGCGCTGAAACTGACGTCATGTCATTGACGGGTTACTCACACGATGGGCGGGTTCGATATGCATCGCCGTCGAACGTGGCAAGCCTCGAAGGGCTCATTGGTGATAGGGAGAGGTCTCTGTCGTCGTCTCGAGGAACTCGTTCAAAGTCTCGAGCGGTTGCCTCCCGTTCGGATGCTATTGTCAACCCAGTCCACATGTACCTCGTGTGGGGCCCTCACTAGACTGCAATGGGATTGCCTCGAGTCGAGCTTGGTGCGTACGGTATCATGGGCGACATCCATTCCGGCACCACAATATGATATAAATCGTGCAATGTGGTCGGTGCCGAGGACGGTCGACGGTCAGCAGATGGGTTCGTACCACCACCACCGGTGGTAGGTCTCAGACACAGCACTGCGTTGGAGCTGGCGTTGGAGCTTAACTTTATAGTTTTGTCGACGGCGGCTGCTTTCCAGTCACGAGGAAGAGTGGCTAGTGCGTTCGATTTCGAAACATGTCTGCGAGGAACCCGTGCACGGTGCAATCGAACGCGCCGTCGCATCTCGTCCACTGACACCACCATTATTAGCAGAGTCGGTTCGTTTACTCACAGTTGAAGGAGCCTGCCAACCGCAGACGGTTCGTGCAATGTGTATGTGCTGCGTTCGAGTGGTATAAGCTGCTGCAATGAAGCGTGTGTCGGTAATTGAATTGGAATATCGGGTTCAGTCGCGGGCCGTCGAAGCGAAGTTGGGTGCTGTCGCTTGTCGACGGCTGCAATAATGTCGCGGTACGGATTGTAGCACCCATCGCAATTCGAGGCTTGACAGGTTCCCGCCACATCCAACACCAACGGACAAGGGCTATATGTAAGGGTTTCGCATCTACAGAGACGGCGCGACGCCCGACACCCAAGACGGCGATGACGTCGGCGACGTTCTTGGAGAGCACCAGCGTCACGCGGCGATTAAAGGGCAATGACGTCGGGAGCGACATTGCGGACTCTCTCGACGGATTTTAGTCCCGCCTTTCGACCAGTAGCCCGATTTCCTATGCGATGTCGAGCCGCACCGGCAAAAACGGATAGTAGGCGTGACTGTGCACTGTCCGTCCCATGCGTGGCGTGCCTCGATTCACGTCCATGGCACACTGTCAGTAGCGGTCTCATGCACCAGGTAGTTCAGACAACATGTCAGCTTCATGTTATGTCGACGGTACAGCTTCCTTGGCCGCGGCTTTGTTGAGATAGGGCGCGACGTACTTGAGGATGTAGCTGTAGACCAGCTCGAGCTCTTCCATCGAGCGTTCGTTGGCCGTCTCGGCATCTTCGTCCAGCACACTGCGGACCCACTGAACGCGCTCGAGAAGGCGGCGCACGCGATCTTTTTTGGCTTGGTGCATCGGGTCGTTCATGTGCGTCACGTACGTCTCGTACGCGTGCTCGACGGCGAGGACATCGTGGCGGTACGTAGCGCTCAGCATCGCATGCTACACACCGCTCTTTCTAGAAACACAGAAAAACAAGGGACGCACCTCTCGCCAGTACGGCGTTGTCGACTCGATCGTGTCGCTGGACGCGGTCGCCGTCGTTGGTGCGGTTAAAACGCTCATGTAGGGCAGCACGACACGGTCAATGCACTGCCAGACACCATCCAACTCGTCCAGCGACCGCGCGGCGTGGGTACCGCGATCTTCGGCCAGTAGCGCTGCGCAGTGCTCGATGTCGTGTAGCGACGACGTCGCGTCACGGCCGCGGTCCGTCAAGTGCTGCCGGAGCGCCGTGCGCACGGTGAGGACATCGGTCTCGTATTTGTCTTTAAGCGCTGCCAGCTACGCAATATTGTATGGAGTGCCCAGTTCTCAACTATATCGCAAGACGTACCTGTAGCCAGTAGACGTCGGATGTGTCGGGGCGCGAGCTGTTGCTGCCAAAGGACGCGCTGTCGTCGGCCCAGGTCGTCGTTGTTGTCGTTGGGTGCAGCGCGCCGTCGGCCGTGCTGCTGGCCGTCGTTGTCATCGACACGTACGACGCCGACGACGCCTTGCGCCCAAACGAGACCTCTTCGACGCGCAGTTTGCTCAGGTATGGCAGCACGATGCTGTGGATGTACTTGTGGACGCGATCCAGGTCCTCGCTGCCCCGGCACGTGGCCTCGTCATCGAGCACTTCGACGCAGTACTCGACGTACCTATCGATCGAAAAAGCTCAAGCATCACGGCGAGGTGCGCTGCTAGCGTACTTGACGAGTCGCTCGAGCTTGGTGCGCTGCTCGTCCGTGCCATGCCACTGCTGCAGCGTCTTGTGGAACGATTGGAAGACCTGGACCGCGCTGTCGTGGTGCGCCGCCTTGAGCGCTGCGTGCTAGTCCATGGTATGTGAGGCCGACGTTCGACTGCGTACGACGCACCTGCGCCCAGTAGCTGTCGTCGTCCATCTCGCTGCTGCGCTCGGTGATGGTTGTGGCACTTGGTCGAGCGTGCAATGCATCTGTCTCGATTTTAAATGGGGCCCCGTCCACATTTGCTTTGTTGGGTCCCTGTCTCGTGTCGCCTTCATTAGCGGTTGGTATGCATTCTTAAAACAAGGGTACCTGCTAGAGAGATGGGGTACCCCATAAATTAATGGATGTACCAGCTGGTGCCGTTTTATGTCCAAATGTTCGTACATTCGCCGTACAGTGTACGAGGTATCGCGCGCATATATCTTGATGTTTGTATCGAAACACCACTGCTCGGACGCCATGTCCATGTACGGTGCTATCACTCCTTTGGCGCCACAATGTCGTCCAGCAGCTTCGTCCAGCGTTAAGACGAATAGCCGATTGAGTTCTCGCCGACGATGACACCCAATCTATCTATCTATTTTGAAGTCATATTATGGGGCCCGACACGAGAGCAAGGACGGCCACGTCCACCCGACCAGGAGTTGCCTCCATCTCGAAGCGCTTGTCCATTCCATCACTGGAATGGTGGTGGTCGACTTGGCGCCCCAACACACAACACTCGTGATACGCTCTCGTACATCTATATTCAACAATCAGATCTGAGTGTCTTGCCTCTTTTCTAGGCCGAGTGATGTGACGCTAGTTCTCATCTTTCTACTTTGCATTGCGGAGTGGTAGCGCCGAATCGAGCATCGAATTGGACTGGTTGGCGAGCGAAAGCGGCGTCGAGAAGAGGCGCCAGAGCTTCACATCGAGCGCATACATGCGTCGCCCGTGGCGGTAGGTGACGATGCCGGCGAGGACAGCCGAGGCGCGGTCGAGGTAATAGACGTCCTGCACGACGCGGTTGTGGTGCATGAAGAGGTACTTCGCGCCGCTGGAGAGCAGTAGCGATCGCACCCGGGTTGGTGGCTTGTCCACGCTTAAGCGCACGATGCCAAAGCAAACCATGTTGCAGCCGACAACGATCCCCGAGAGCAGCAAGAGTCGGTCGCGCTGACCGATCGCAATCATGCCGCTACTGCAAACCGCTTGCAAGTCGACCTGAGCAACGACGCAGGTTTGGTGCAAATTCACGGTGGCTTCGACGGGAAAGGCGCCAGCCAGCGTCGCGACAATGAGCCACACGAGAATGCTGTTGGCAGTCGTGTAGTACATCGAGTACTCTTTGGTAAATACAAGAGCAATGTCGTTGACGACCGAGACGAGCCATGTGACCTCGCCGGCCGCAAGTGCGATCTTGTACCACGGCGTGGGCACGGCGGCAAAGTAGCTGCGGTAGCCAGAGGTTTGGAGCTCAAACGTGGCAGTGGAGAGGAGGCAGAGCGCTGTCATGGACCGAAGAAAGAGAAGCGGCCGGCCGACCCAGACAATACCGCCGACCCGCGAGAGCTCGAGCATGTTGAGCCCTTCAAAAGCCCCCCGCGTCGTCACCATGTAGACGCACGCGAGTGCCGAGACGGAGAGCATGAGAAACGTGACATACCACACACCGGCGCGGCAGTATTCGGCAAAATCTTGCGTGAGCATCCACGGCTGCACTTGTTGGAGTAGCGGGAGTTGGAGGTCCGTCAGGATATTGAGCGTCCCGATGTCGCCTTGGAACGAGATGACTTCGCGATTGCCGAGAACCCAGTCGTAGAGGTACGTCCATGCAAGAAGCCAAAGCCGACTTCGCTTGGGTCGAGGAGGTTGGTGTGGAGCAGTGCGAGTGGCGCTGACGCGTTGACTTTTGCAAAAATCATAAACTCAATGTTCAGATTGTGGACTAATGCATTGGTTGACGCAGCGATGGATGCCAATGACGCATTGGCTGTTGGCATGTAGGTCTGAATAAAGTGCATGGTTTGGTTGAGGTAGGCGAGGCAGAGGGCAATATATGCTGGGTCAAACGAGCAAATATTGCGGTAGTCACTGGGTGGCGACGCGCTGAGACCCGAGAGAATCGCCGACACAATATAGTGTTGCCGCGTCGGAATCGCCTTGCTCTGGATCGGTGACGTCGGCAGACACGGCAAGTCGTACGAGAGAACGCTCGTCAAGCCCGCCGAGACGACCTTGCTCGACACAAATTCTTGGCAAAGCGGAGACCCCCCGAACGAGGCGTAGTTGGGCATGAGCCACTTTTTTGGAATCGGGTACGATGTGCCGAGCGGTGTGATCTTGTTGAAGGCGGCTTGGGCGAGGATCGACTGCCCCATTGACAAGCGTGCCATGTGAAGAATGTCGTGAACGAGGCTGCTGACCGCAACTGGAACGCGTAAGTAGACCATGTCCGTGACGCCAAACGGGCCGATGGTGGTGGCCACCAGAGCCAACGCATTGGACAACGGCGACATCAATGTCAAGTTTCTTGTCAAGACGGCCTGCAGCGAGGTATTTGTAAAGGCGAACCGAGGACTTGTCCGCAAAAGACTGAGGCCACCAATGCCACTGGCGTTGGACACGATCGCTGAGAGATCGTTGGCGAGCGACCAGTACATCTTGTACGTTGTCTGACTGCTCCAGCGGTAGCTGCCGTTGAGAGCCATCAATTGCATAGGGTACGAAATACCAAAGGCGTTGACGATCGCGTAGCTGTTGATGGCGCCGATGCGCTTGTAGTTTTGCCACTGCACTTGAAAGGTTGATAGATTGTGCTGACCCCACAGCGTGATTTCGTCTTGCAGTGAGAGTCGCTCGCTGGATACGGCATGCAGCCATTCCACACCTTCGGACGATTGCCGCAGATCAACTCCAAATGCTGTTTCAAAAGCGCTGCCCCAGCAAAATTCAAAGGTCGCCCAGTCAATGTTGCGCAGGACCGACTCGAGGTACACGGCAGCGTTCGTCTCCATATCTTGACATCGCATTTGGCGCTGGTGCGAGTACGCCATGGGCCACGTTTTCTTCCAGTCGAGGTAGCAGTACGGTGTAAAGATCCAGGGCGCGTTGCATGCATCCGAGACGCGAAGGCCTGCAATCGATGCTTCGATCGCACTCAATTCGTTGTGCTGGAGCCACGCACCATAGTTGTTGACGGTCGACACATACGCTGTCGGTGTCGCGAATGAACCAAAGAGGTTGATACTCCCATTATCCAACGTAATGCTTTGAGCAGTCGCCCGCAAGATGAGCTGCTCGTTGAGCCAGGTGGCAAAAAACGTGTGGGCCCCCGTGACGTTAAAGGTCGCCCAGTACAAGTCGTTGTCCAAGTAAACTTTGGACACTTCGAAGTACAAGACCGAGCCAGTGATCGAGGCGACCATGTACAGCAAGCCAAACGTAGCGAGCAGCGCTCGAAGCCGGCGCCGGCCCGAGGCCACACGAATGAGATCGATGGACGGCACGGAGAAGGCAACGCTAGCGGAGCGTGGGCGCGTTACCGCGAGCGTGACCTCGGGGGCCGTTTGCGACGTGTGCGGGTCCGTTGAGATCGTATCAGGCAGCAAGCTCCACAGCTTGAGGTCAAAGACATACCGATGGCCGTTGTACGAAAGGGGAAGCAGCCCGCAGAGAACGCAGGTCACAGGGTCGTAGATGTGAGCGGCCGGGCGGTGCGGGTCGGCGGTGATGAAGGCCTGGGCCAAACCGGAAACGAGCAAGCTCTCTTCTTGATCCTCCTCGTCGTCGTCGCCCTTGTCGACGCCACACATGCGGCGCACTCCGCACCCGAGGCTAATGGACACGACAACGATGCCAACCTGGAGACTGACAAGAAGCATGAGTCGGTGAAGACTGCCCGTCGAGATGGTTCCTGCTGTGCAGAGAAGTCCATAGTCCATATCGTTGCCGACACACTCGCGACGCAACGTCATTTCAATGCCCACGGGAGAGGCCAGGCTCACGATGAGAATTGTAAGCCACGCCAGCGCGTTCGTCCACGGGCCGTAGAGTCGCGAGAAGCTGATTGGCAGAGCGATCACGAGATACTCGTGCAGAGAGTACGAGAGCCACGTAGCCTCGCCCGCTATGATGCCCGTCTCCCACACCGAGCGCGCACTCTCGACAAGCCGGCTATAGCCAAATTGTGCCTCCAGTTTTGGCTGCGCCGTGCTCAAAATCAAGATGGCGCTGGTTCCGCGCATAAGCATGAGTTGGCGGCCAGCCCAGACCGAGCCCACGAGCCGGTTGAAACAGAGCAGATTGCGGCCCGTGATGTAAAAGCGACTGTAAAGCGTGTAGAGCAATGCAAGTCCACCGACGCTGACGAGCCAAGTGGTACTCGTAAGTACAAGATAGTAGATCATCTTGGTGGCAGTCTCGAGTGGTTGGCCACTCGTGACATAGTGCTGGCTCGTATATGCGTTGGAGAGAAGGACGATCGACGACACGTCGCCTTCAAACGAGGCGGCTTGGCGAATGCCAGTGGCCCAGTCGGCCGCAAAGCACCAGCCATAGAACGTCCAGGGATCGTCCCAAGCGCTTAGCAGCGGCTGCTGCAAGAGCACCCACGAGCCATTGGAGGCTTTCGCAAACTGCATAAAGCTGATGTCTGTGGCCTGAAGCACCGGTGATAGCGACTCGAGCATCAACGAGATCTGGTCTGGAATGGGTAGCTCCTGAAGCCAGCGTGATCCTGCAGAGAGCATCGATACACACGGGTCTGGAGTGGTGGAGAGTGCGCAGATGGCGTGGATCGAGAATGTACTTGAGGCTGTAGAGGCAGCGAGCAGAGCAAAGAGGAGGGACATGGGTGGCGGCTGGGCACTGAGAGGTGTCTTTTGGGAGCAGTCGTCATAAAAATCAAACGACTGCTGCACATACGATGTGCCCGTGCCAAGGACGCACATCGGGTCGCCGCCATAGAAGGTGTAGTTGGCCTGCCAGCGCGACGGCGTCGGTGTCAAGACCACCGACGGGAGTCTCGTAAACGATTCAAATCGCGCTGTCGACGTTGCGAGATGCGCCGAGACAACGTCCTGGAACCGATTGTACGTAGCGACAAGTGGTGCTGGCCGCAGCTTGTAGCGAACGTCAACGCTCATGTAAGGTCCGATGAAGGTGTGGAAGAGCCATGCTTTCCCGACAAGGTTGCCGCGACTGTCGGCCATGCCCCGATAGATCTCCAAGTTGATGGCGGGCAAGGATGCACTGATGTTGGTAGCAAAGTGGCGACTCGTGCCTCGGATCAAACTTCGGTTCAGGATCATGCCGTTGTACAGATCGTTGAGCGGCATCCAAAAGAGGCTCTGCGACGACCACGGGCCCGTGACTTGGTCGAGCGCTTTGAGCGTAAAATTCTCTTGCATGCCTAAGGCGTTCGAGACAACAATGGTCTCGGAGACGCCAGGTTGCCACCGACTCTGCCACTGCAGCTCAAATATCGACAAGTTGTACGACTGCCAGTAGGCAAGCTCGTCCGCCACCGACGTCGTGTTGGCCGCCGTCGCCATCTGTGCCAGAAACGAGCGGCCACCCATAGTCTCTTGAAGACCACGCTGGATGGCTACGTTGAAGCGAAGCCCATTTCCAGCCCAGAGCGCCAGATACGCGTCCCATGGCTGGTTGCGCAGGATCGCTTCGAGGTACACGGCAGCGTTGGCTCGATAGCGGCGCTCACAGCGTTCTTGCCGAAGAAGCGTGTGGGCCATCTCGAACGTTTTGTTAAAGTCAACCCAGCAGTGCTGCACGTTCATGCGCATGCACCAGTAGGTGCTGAGCGTCCGAAGATGCGGCACAGCGTACTCGATGGACGTGAGTTCGCCGAGGAGGACGTCGTGCATGTAGGGTGTGTAGATGGACGTGAACGCATCGATGGTCGAGTATGTCTTGGGCACGATGGCCGAGGCAGAGAGCACGTCGAGCGAGCCGTTGGCGTTGGTCATGAGAAACTGGTTGCAGAGATCGATGAGAAAAGCTTGGTAGCCCGAGACGTTGTAGCCAGCCCACCAGAGGTCGTTGGCAAACGTGGGTTGGAGCAGGCGGGTGTAGTAGACGCAGCACGCCAGTGAGAGCAGTACATAGAGAAGGCCGCCCGCCGTCTGCAGATGCAGCGAGGTCGTGAAGCGACCCATCGCACGATCTTTGAAACTGCGTTTCGTCCTTTCCCCAGACCGGTTGGTTTTGGTGCCTGTAACGGCTCTACCTACTACTACAAGTCCGCGCCACCCAGGCTGCTGGCCGACTGCACCAAGCCTCATGTGCCGGCGATTGCTCTGCGCCTGCACGTTGGCTCGTCTCGGTCGTCGTTCTAGAACGTAAATCCTGAAGTAGATACTTGAGTCTTGCGTCACAAATTTCAATATCAGTCTATCAACTTGTGGTGGTTGCAGACGCCTACTGCTTGGGGCGGACAAAGAAGGTTCGCAGCGCGTTGGGGGACAGCGCCGGGTACGACGACGCGATGGCTTGTACCAGCAGCTCGTGCAGCGCACGGTTGCCGGCTGCTGCCAAGTGAATGCCATCGCTAAGGTAATACGACGTCGTGCTGCGGTTGCTCCAGGTGCCAAAGACATCGAGGACGGGCACGTTGCGGGCCGCACCCACTTGCTTGCAGCCGCGGACGTAGGCGGCGAGGACCGCGTTCGAGTGCTGGCCAGCCTGCACGGCATCGACGACGGGCGGCGGCGTCAGCAGCAAAAGCTTGGTCGACGGAAAGGCGTTTTGAAACGCTGTGAGAATGGCCTCGAGGTTGGCCATGTACGCGGCGACGCTGGCGTGGCCCATGTTGCCGGGTAAGACCGCGTCGTTCGTGCCAAGCAGCAGCGTCAACAGCAGCGGTGGCGCCATCTCGGCGACCATGGGCGGCACGGCGGCGGCCAAAAAGTCGCTACCACACCACGTCGTGAGCGCTGGAGCGGAGGAGGATGTGCGCGTCCTACCTTGTGGTCCAGCCGGCAAAGCCACGGTTGAGCACATCGGCGCGGCGCATGTAGCTTTGTGCCAGTAGCGTGTGGTAGCCAAGCACCGTTGGGTCGAGGCCATACTGCGTGAGCGAGTCGCCGGCGACCACGATCGTCGGCACGGTCGGCAACGTCGGCGCGGCTTCCACCGTCGTCAAGCCTGGCGCTGTGACCAGGTAGAGCACAAGGCTGCCGCTAGCGAAGAAGAAGATGGCAACCACGGCCACGATGCGCGTGAGGAAGCGCCCGCGGGCGTCGACGTCGCGCTGCATGGTTCTTCTCTGCGCCCGTTCGGTCCTCTGCCATCCTCACCCAATACGACGCCGGATACCGATGGCAGAGACCGGATACATGGCACCATATTGCACCACTGATATTGCACCACAGTTGCGCTATCCGGACAATATATATTGTTGTTGTTGAAGTGAGTCTATTTAGATATAATTTACACTGAACTGGATATGGTGGTGGACTATCGATTCCAAGGTGCTACGATGAGCCGGCCGCCGAGAGGCTTAGCCGAGCGGGAGACGTGGCGTGTAAACGGCACATGCCGGAACAAAGTTGTCGCGTAGCCATGCGTCGTGCCGCAGGGCGGCCATCATTTGGAAGAGGCACAATGCTTGAGTGTTCAGCAGCAGGTGTTGGAGGTGCAGCTTGGTCAAGAACGCGGCTCGTTGGGCGGCTGCCTCAGGCGTCACAAGGGGCGCCTCGGGGCGAAAGACTCGGTCGTTGCGGGCAAGCCAGACGGTGTGGAGCACGCACGCGCGGAGGATCGGCCACATCATGGCCACGGCGCGCCGACGGTAGCGTTGGGCTGTCACCAGCGGTTCGAAGAGGAGCGCGGAAAGCGTCGTGGGAAGTTCGAGCTCGAGGGCGTCGACGAGCGGCTGAAAGACCGCCCACACGGCAGTGACAAATTCGCAACGAAGCAGAAGATGGTCGTACGGCTCGAGGTCGCCGCAGACGGGACAGACTTGGGCGTCATCGGCCAGAAAGTAGAGCCGGGAGCGGATCGCGCCAAGCACCACACGGTACATGAGGTCGGCGTATCTTGGCAGGATGTGCTCGGGTTGGCGTTGGCGGTACTCGACTGCTGCATTTACCATGGCCGGGCGTGGGTATAGTGGTCGTCGGGGAGCTGCAGATATCTCGTAGGGAGGAGGCACTGGGCCGCGACGTCGTGTCGGCGTCGATAAGAGTGGCGAGTCGTAGCCGTAGCCAGCGGCATCACCGTGCCGGCAAAGCACATGCGCCACGCGGGCGGCCCCGGCGAGGGGGCGTCGGCCTGTAGTGGCGCAGGGGCGAGACAGTCGGTACCACCGAACGGAGCCAGGCTTCGGTAGGCGGGCGCACTTGACGCGTACGTTGGCGGCGAAGGTATTAAACTCCTGCATGCGTCCCAGAGGTGCGAGACGTGGGTAAATCCGGCGCGTGCCATGTTGCGTGCGTGAGTCGTCGCATAGCTTGTCGTCAGCGGGCGCAGCGCATCGGTGCACTCGAGAAATGCGTTATGCCACAGCGGTTGGACGTGCGGTGTCGCGGACCCTTGGCGTGTTGCGCCGTCACGGTGAACCGTGTGCCGTGACTCCATCCACAGCTTCAGTAGAAAGCGCCAGCGAGGTGGAATGCGAGCCGAGCGAAGGACGGCCTGTACCACTGGGTGATTCTGGTCGCCATGCAGCAAGTCTTGGAGGTCGCCCCATGGCGCATACGCGAGCGGGACGAGCGTCCAACCGGGTGAGATCCACGCCGGGCGGTCTTCGGGGAGCTGTTGCACTGCTTGCGCGGCGCGAAGCATCCCGGCCCGGTGTCGCGCGGTCCACAAGGGCAGTGCGCGTACGAGACCCAAGCCACCAAGACGACGAGGCGAGAAGGCGAGGTCAGCGCGGAAGTGGCGTACTCTGTGCTCACTCCGGCGCGCGATCGGCTCGTTG